TTTGCAGAACTGGGGATTGAACTCAAGACCCTTGTGCTTGCCAGGGAAGCACTTATTCCACTGAGCCATCTCCCCAGCCCTAATCCCCTAGTTTCATATTCATGGTAATTACATTATTTCCTAGGCATTTAGGCTTTAAAGTGAAATATTCCTCTTTTTTTAGTGCCAACTTACTTTCTGTGGATTTCAAAATACTAGAATTGTAAACTTAAAGCAAAGGAAAGGATTGTGCATATAGTTAATCCTTTAAATGCTCAAGTAATTCAGCAGAGTATTGTAGGCAGCCCTTGGAGCTGGTCTGTGCGAAGGTTTCATCATCTCAGATCTTCCAGTCACAGAGCTGCAGCTGACCCTCCCCCACCCAACCTTGGGAGCACAGATGTTCTTCTATTGAATTATGACTTCAAGAGCATCTTCAGTTGCATTCTTGCAACATATTACCTAATTTTGGTCCAAAATTGTACTAAAATTTCTCATGGTGCAGGAAGTACAAGCCATATTAATTGTTTTAGAATCTTGCTGGTAATCAGTATCTTTACTTACAATCAAAACTGCAAAGAAATTCATATGCTATAATATAGGTCAATTTTTGTTTTCAATCCTTGGCCACAGAGTTTATGAATATAAAACTAAATGTTTTTAATAAATTCATGTTCTTGCTTACCAGTTGTCTGCTTATAAATATTTATCTTTAGGAAATCAACTTCCATCACTGTGAAAGTTGAGATCATAAATATCTACACTCATATTCTAAGTATTTTACCATTTTTCTTCAGTTAATACATTAAACTTGCCTGGGCCCCGGTTAGTTTCTCTCCCTTCGGTGAACTTTCGGCTACTTCACGGTTTCCCGGCCTTCCTCTCCCTGAGTCGCCGCCCAGGGACCCTCTTGGCGGGGAGCCGTGCCCTTGTAGTGTCCGGTCAGGTGGCTCTCATTCTGCCTCCTGCAGGGTGTAAGACCTCGGGGAACTGCTTTCACATCCTCACCTTGGAAAGGAAGCCAGTAACAAATTCATTAATCACTACGTGGAAAGTACTACCAATTCCGCTGTTTGGACCATAGATGCCGAAGTCATTGTTGACCCTGCTTTTTACTATGCCATACACAGTTGAATTCTGTTATATGTCACTCGTACACCCTCGGTCTCCCCACTGCACACTCTCCCTCTGCAGACCCCATCAGAACCAGGAGCTCCCCACCGTCCTCAGGCCCCCTTGCGCAGCCCTTCAGCCTGCATGCTCCTCCACCAGAGAGAGGGCGCTACTCTGCTTTTAGCCACCCACTGGCGCCCTGTTGGATTAGGAGTAAAAACCACAGCCCTGTACCTCCATGACTTCCTGTTAGATTTAATTTAGTTGAAAATCTTTAATTTTAATTTCAAAATTAAATTAACTTTAGTTAAATTTAGATTTTAGATCAAAATTTTTTGACTGATACATGCAATCATAAAATTTCTAGACTCATGGGCTGCCGTGTAACAGTCTGCTGCACGTACTGCATGTCCTGTGTAATGCTCACATCACTTTGAATGCAGTCTATCCTAGGGCCAGCCACACAGCTCAGCAGGTTATAGTGCCTGGTTAGACAGACGCAGCATCTACGTAATGAGACCCTGTGGACCCTTACTAAAAAAAAAAAAAAAATTATCATTTGTTCACACTGAACATCCTGTCTTGTAGGATTTAATCTCTTTACAGTCACCGAGCTCTGCACCGCTGCACCACTGTCTTGCTCCTGTCTGTGACTCACGCTCCACCTCCCACCTTCCCCAAAACCTCCCAGCCCTGATCACTACCACTCTGCTAAACTCCTAGGAAATTTTGAATGGTGTCATTTAAGGATAAGCTTCTTTTGGTTTGGTTGGTTGGTTGTTGTTGTTGTTGTTGTTGTTGTTGCAGTACAGGGGATTGAACTCAGGACACTGCATTTGCCAGGCAAACACTTATTCTACTGAGTTATCTTCCCCAGGCCTCTTTCTCTTTCTTTCTTCTTTCTTTCTTT